GCCCTCTCTTCTTTGCATGGAACCAAATCTGTGTATGTATCACCAGCGTCACCCAGCCCATCAAATCCAAAGTAATTACCGCCATCTGGTGTTATTACTAGAGAGTTTTGTGATCCTCTGTAAATTGGTACCTGAAAAATATATAATATACATACATATTACACCATAATACTATAACTTAGAAAATATTATTTCTATATTATTAAAATTGCTTACAACAAAGTGGTTTTTAATTACCTAGATAAAGATAATAGGTAGATTCTGAGATAACATTCTTTATCTCTAAATTTACAATTTTATTTTGATAGTTTAGCATAATTATTTTAGTATGGACGGACTATCGCGAATATAGTTTATACTGGCCCTTGAAATAATCATTTCGCATCAAAATGAAATTTTAATTTTAGAGATAAAATATGGTACTTCCAAATCTACTCTGATGTTTTATACGAAGGTTTTATCTTAATAATATCATAAAATTAGCATAAATTAATAAAATACGCCGTAACCATACGGCGGCCTATTCTACAATGGACCACCCCAATATTTCCGTGGGTGTCGTAAGAGGCGTCTAAGGGAGGATGAGGAATGGACAGCAGCGGTCTTTTTAAAACACCTCCAAAGTCTAACTGCGGTTACCAATCCACCTCCCAAGTGTGGCAACTACTGGCAAAACCCCCCAAGAGGTAGGCTTATGTTTAGTGGTAGACAGTTAAAGGCTGATATGATGAATGTCAAAAATGTAATCAGATGACGTCTGTACAGGGGAGATATTTAAGGAAAATTTATATAAGGGACAATCGTGGGCGGGAACTCATGGATACCAGGTTAATCCTCTTGATGTGGTCCAGAGGCGTACTATGAGAATTGTTAACAATCCCAGGTTAACAGGCGGTAAAGAGTCCCTTAATTTAAGGCGAGACCTTGTTATCCTTTGCATCTTATATCATTTATATAACGGATTGTATCCTGAAGAACTCCTCAATATGATACATACAGCCACCTTTCACCACTGTACCGCTTACCATCGGCAGGGAATCCATCCTGACACCTTAGAAGTAGAATGGTCAGCTGCAGCTTACTCCCGCGAACACCCAGGTCGTGGATCTTTCTGTCGAGTATTTCCTCATTGTCGAGGTATCCTTTCAAGCATGGAGTTCTTCAGAAAGGGCATATTAAGGTTTCTTAAATTTCGACAACGCGTCCGCATTACAGGCGTCCATAGGCTACGGTAACGCCGTTTACCATCAAACGGGCCGTATGCTTGTTTGCCACTATAGTAGTATAAAAAAAAACTGAAATAAGAACAATTGAAGCCTAAACAATAATTTTCAGTTTTTTTATTTAATTTATTTATCATATTTACAAACTAAGGGAACTTGACAGTTTCAATTCACTCCCTTTTGTCTTTCTATCTGTATATTTGTTCCGCCGTCACATAAAGGAAGCGTCACCTTACTAATATAATAAAATTGTAGAGGAGTTTGAAAAAGGAAAAAAAAAATATATGGATCAAAATACTTACATCCTGTCTGTTTGCTACTTTTAATATCTTCTGGTTGTTTATGTACACGTTTTCTTCTTTCGTGTTTCCCTTTACAGTGGTTAGAGCAACCACTTTCGGTCTGTGATAAGATTATCAGATTAAAATGAGGGTTCGTACGTAACGTATATCTATGGCAAAGGATGGTAGTCATTTCATTGTTTGTTTACTTACATAATAACTAACTATACAAAAAATTAAATAAATAAATAAATAAGAAAATAGATAGATAGATCATTTATTTGCATTTTTTTAATATATAAGGGTATTTGAAAATTCCAAAGCTAGGTCTACATCGGGTTTTCTCCTTGTATTTCGCGTATAAAGAATTGTATTTTAACGCACATAAAGTTTGAGTGCATTTAATTTGAGACACTGTGTGTGATAGTTAAATATATATAAATATTTTTATTTGCATTACCTACAGCATACAAATAACAGCAGACAATGTTAGACACGCACAATAAAAGGAGATAAAAGAATACATATGCAAAAAAAAGCAAAAAAACATAAAATGACAAAATATTGATTTGTAAAAAGTTTCGATTGAATTTTCTTTCGATTTATTTTACACTATACTACTAAGAAAACAATAGGCCTTATTTGCTCTTTTTTTAATTAGATAGGTACCTACTTATGTTTTCTACTATAATCAAACATACATTGAGGTATTTAGTTAACAAACTCAGGTCTTATTTTATACCCCTGATTTATGGCCAGTAATTTTAAGTTAGTGGATGCAGGTGACTCAGGACCATTCTTTATGGCAGTCTATGGGGGAGGCTCATGTCCAGCAGTGGACGGATAATGGCTGAAATGATGATGAATGATGAATTTTAAGATATTGTATTTTTTGTTCTATTATTTTATTACGATGTTAATGTAATAAAGCAGCTGAATTTCGGAAAGATTAGACATACAAGCACATTTTCTCTATCAGAAGAATTCGTGATTACGTTTGTACCTTGAGGTACGATGATGCTTGAGGTATTCTCTTGGTACAAAATGAATACCTACCCATTGAAATGCTTCTCGTACAATAAAGCTAGAAATATTGCCATTGCATCATCGCCGCCCGCATCATTGTCAATCACTAATTTAAGTTCTTTCCCCATTACACTGTAACACAATTATATAAATAAATTGTCCTGTAATTAATAATAATCATTGTGATAATTAGTTAAATATTTACAGTTAATTTTCTTTCTTCATTGTTATTTATTAATTAATAATTTGTTTTGAAACTTAACGGAATATTTCTATATTGAAAATATATTTTTAAATTACTGTAAATTTATTTTAGATAAAATATTTTATATTTTATTTAAATAACTATTTATAAATTCAAATCAACTCTTGCCTTTTATTAATGTTTATTAGTTGTGTTTTTAAATTATTCACTGACTAAAAATATTTATTTATTTATTTATTCTTTATTGCACCACTAAAAGAATAATACAAAATAATATACTCGTACATATATTACATAAATAAAGTACAAAACGGTCTTATCGTTAAAGCAATCTCTTTCATACAATCGACATTTAATTTAATTTAATTTTTTATGATGATAATAAAACTATTTCATTTATTTATTTATTTAATTTTATAATTTTCAAACGTTTATACAATGTACATTCTATACTGTAATCATGAGGAATTATATAAATTATAATATAATATATATAATAGTACAAACGAAAACACAAAATTAATTAAATACGATAACGTAGGTACGATTATAAATTATTCTATTATACTTTTGTTAAGATAAGCATTGACCTTTTTCTAAATTTGAATATGTATAACTGTAATAAATAAAGATATTGTTATATAATACTAATATAAATGCTAAACGTATGCTAAATTTCACGAAAATCGATTGTGACGTGAAGTAAGAAAGAAACGTACTAACTTTCATTGTATGATTACATTGTATTCAAATGTATTATGCAAATAAATATTCATTCATTATGAAAATAAGTCAACACAAACTACTTACATGCAACACAAATAGGATAACACAAAAAATATTACTGTGGACATATTGTTCAAACAAAACGTGATGTTTACTCACAATTGTCTCGAGATAAACTAATCTTGCTATCAAGAACGCGGATGGGCTACGTTCAGCCGTCGCCATTCTAAATACACATGTGCCCATTTTGCTTATAAATGGATGCCTAAATAATAAATGCTACTGAACACATTATAAAGCGCCATCTACTCTCAACTAAACAGAGCTTGTACAATGGGTACTAGGCAACAGATAGAATACTTATCCTTACTCCCTTTCTACTATTATTATACGGGGGAAAGGGATTACCCTATTGCTAGCAATATAGGCTATATTGCCAGGTCGACCTCTACGTTAATGGACGATAATGGATTGGTAACCCTGCCCGCGCCAAATGTACACGCTGGCGGCGAACCAGCGAGGGATGATAGGTGAGTATGAAAATGCGGGTCAATTAGTCCATCGTGAAGAACACATTAGAAATTCAGTACGATGGTTTCTAGGGAGAACCATAGAAGTGGACCTGACAGAATATATTGCTAACAATGAGATTGGCAGTTCGCATTAGTAACAATATCTTTCTCTATATTAGTATAGAGTTAGGTAGATTTATATGTATCGATCATTGACCTTAACAATTAATTATGTATGTGATAAATACATGCAAGTCTTTATGATACAATTAAATGTAAACATTTGTTATTGGTTAATTGATGAGAATTATTTTGTTTATTTCCGCTATCATTAGTATGCGTGCGACTGCCAACATTTGAAGATTGGCAACTATTTGAACCAGTAGTCAACGACCTCTCATAATAGTCATCAACCTAGACATTTATCTTATCATTTTGGACCACACTTATAGTTTAATGGAATATTTGTAAATATGTGTTGAGTCCGATTTAGGTAATACAGTATTATTTATTACTGAGACCAAATTATTAACTCGACTATGTGATGTTATACGAAATACTTGTACTTTGTTCCACTGTATTTATTGTATTTTTTTTTATTTATACATGTTAACGGTTATTTATCTACTATGTAAAATAAAGGTAAATTCATTTACATAGATAGTCCCCAAAAATAATGAATATCGCCATCTAGTTTCAAACTAAACAAACCTATAGGTACTAGAGAAGTGACCATTTTAAATACACTATTGGGGCATAACGCGATGAAAAATTTATTGCAGGTTAATAGTACCTACGATTTTTATTTTTATTTCACCGTGGACTGTAAAAGATAAGATTATTAATATATTATTACTATAATATAGATTACAACTACTACGCATAACTTTAAAATTAACTAAACGATAGATTTTTATAGAAATACATACATACATATTATATATACAAAATATCTATATCGATACAAACAGATACACTCACGTTTACAAATGAAAACAAAAAAAAGTAATAAAATACTTACATTATTTGTTTTGTAACAAATTAAAAATCTACGTACATATATACTCAAATAAAATGTAATAAAAACATAGCAGTTGGGAATAAAACAAGTTAAAAAATATTTTTATACATAGTGAGTATGTATTATATCACAAAACACGTCTCATTTGTACTCATACAAATGTATACTAATGAGTGTGTATCATCCATATAATAAATGTGTCGCGCAGATGGAGAGACTAGACGCTACCTACTTCCAATTTATAATTACTAATACCACAGTGTAAAGAACAACCAGTCGTTCAATGTCTTTGACATATGACATGCCCGAACGATTATATGAAAATTCGGGATGCATTGCTTTATATAGAGTAAATAGACTGTATTAATGTGAAAATACTTTATTTATTCTGTATGCATATTACAGAAGTGAATATGAAACATATTAGACATATTTGCTATTTTTTTATGAAAATGAAACTATACATCCTCCTAATTTTATAAATATGAAAGTTTGTGAATATGTTTCTATTATATGTTTATTATTCAATCACGCTCGATAGGCTGAACGGTTTTAAATAAAATTTGGTACACTGGTAGGTTATATCGTAACTTAACATATAGGATTACTAATATACATATTCCGGGGAGCAAAGCCGCGAGAAAAAGCTATTGATATGTAATTAGCTATGCTATAGCGTTTTTTTGGCACCCAAATTGCGAAACGAATAAAATGGTATCGTACTTGTTTAAAATATTTTTATATATTTTTTACTTGATCAACAAACTAATAATAATAAAAGAAATAGAGCTCATCTGAATGTAGCATGTGGTTACATGTCATTAATTTCATTTTATTGCAGTTATGTTATAGAATATTGAACACTGTTCGTCTTTCTACCTTATTCTGGCACACCGCTTCCTATCTCATATACGAATATTCGTAGCGGTGACAATTCAGTCGGATAACGTTTGACAGCTTCGAAGGACCTTGAGATTAAACCCTAATCTAAAATACTGAATTTTCAAAATTATATTTGGATTATTTAAATATTGTTGTCATTTGCTTCGTGCTTCGGAGCCACGAGTAAGTCACGTCAGAAATCTTCGTTTATAAAAAAGGCAGACTAAACATTCTTGATACTAGAGGGCGCTTTTTCATGAAAAGTAAAAGTAATTATTATTTATTAGTAACGGTTCCTAGTCATTTCTTGCATTCATATTTCATCCATTCCCATATACATTTTAATATTATTTAATTGCTTTAGTTGCATATATGAACTTTATGATTTATTATATATAGACTTTATATTATTGCTTTGAAAATACATCAAGTAAAAACTCTTTATATTCATCTTCTTTTACAGAGTAAACTAGTCTAACATTAGCTTCTTCTTTATTTACCAGATCATTGTTATTCAGTCCTCTGTTCTCACCTGAAATCAAAATAAATGTGATTTCTGTTACAGGAGGTACAAATTAATTATTTTTACTCATTTTAGGCTTTTTTTTATAATAATGAGAATCTTTAGAAATTCTCTTACCACACAAGTTTATATCATTTCTCGAATATTTATATTCTTTCACCAGATCGGGTCTGACCACTATAGCTACTGAGGCCGGGTCTAGTGCTTGCCATCTCACATTTTTCTTCATAGATACTTGTTCAAATTTGTTTTGTGCCTTAATTATGTCCGTATTGATAGCACCTAATACATCTTGTCTCCATTCCTTTAAAATAATAGATTATTAAATAAAGCTTAGTAAAACAAGTTGTTAAAGCTACTTAATATCATGCATCCACACCAAGTCCGATATCCGTATATTAGATTCTTTGTTTTAGTACAATAAACGGATATCATGCCATTAATATATATATATATATATATACGATCGGACTCATCATTATTATCATCATCATCTCAGCCATTATCCGTCTACTACCTCCTCCATAGACTACCATAAGGAACAGTCCTGAGCCCTGAGACCATCATAAAACTGTCTGCTGATGTCCAATGGTAGTACAAATAATAAAATCAATTATAATTTTGAAAGCATTTCCGTGATAATATCAACAAAATTTGGTTACCTTTTCATTTTTAAACCAACTATAGCTAGATAGTGTAGGGTCCAATGTACTCGTGTGTACATACGAGTAATTATAAAATAAATAAATAAATTAAAAATAAATAAATCTTTCAACTTTTTATAAACTTAAAGTTATATCGTTTACTTACTTTAGTAAAATTTAGATGTATTCTTATTTGAGAGAACGGTATTAGAGTGACTTTGTCGGGACTTGATCGTTGTGTAATCATAAAGTAAGCCTCAGCGTCAGCCATTGCGTTAAATTCTGCGTTTGGATGTATATCACCTGTTCGAAAGTAAGGTTGGTGATATAAAGGCAGGGTTGCTAAGAACAGGCAAAGTCTGTTAGCGGAATGAGTATCAAGTAATTTCTAGAATACCGAAGAACAAGGGTTACAGAATGCTAATGCGCACAGAAGTTGTATAAATTTAATTCTAACTGACTTTGAACTTAATAGATTGTTTAATGGATGATAACCGAATGGTAACTCTGCCAGTGACGGATGACAGATGTTTTTTTTTATAATTTACGTAACTTAGAATGGCACACAAGCTGACGGTCCACCTGATGGAAAGTAGTTATCGTCACCTATAGACATGAGCAGTATCATCGACATAACAGAGTATACTGTTTCGCCCATGATACCCCTCATGCGTTGCCATTCCTGAGGACTCAGGTGTTATTCCTCTGTACCCTGTAAATTCACGTCATATCCCACCCTTCAAACCGAACACAACTATGCAAACACAACTGCTTTACACTTGAAACATGAATGGGACAGAGGTACTCAAGCAAACGACTTTTGTACAAAGTCTCCCTCTGGTAATGTTAATGAAAGCAGGCCAGTTCTAACGGTCTCTATTTGTTAAAAATCCAAAAAAAAAAAACTTACTATAAATATGGCCTGCTGCGATATATAAATGTTTTAATTGTCCCAGAAATGCAGGATCCAAAACAATGGCCATAGCTATGTTTGTAACGGGTCCAGTTGTTACAATTATAAGATTTCCTGAAATAAAAAAAAAAATGTGAAAAACTATTATTCAGAACAGTTTAATATACTAACTTAAAAGCAGGAATAATTAATATATTAACTTAAAATGTATGCATCTCATACTGGCATATGCCAGTATGAGATGCATACATTTTTTGTCATTTTTATTTTGGCCCAATTCTTTAGTAAAACGTTCAACTGCTCTGGCAAAACGCCTAAAAGGTGAACAGGTTGAAACTTAAATCGTTAGCAATCTTCGAAGGAAGTGTTCCACTAGTGATGTCATAATGTAAGTAATAGGAGACAACATTTTTAACCAAAGGGACAAGAAACACAAAACGACAAAAAAAAAATGCGATTTCCATACGGCAAGTCCTTCATTATATAAGCCATTACTTGATCACTGCTGAACATAGGCCTGCTCCTAATGAGGTATTGCCAATAGTTGCCACGCTAGGCAGGCAGGTTGGCAACGACGGTTACGCTTTCGTAATGTTTTAAGAGGGACCCTGCTGCCCATCTCTCGAGCATTAAGCTCCCTTAGTCACCTCTTACGAGACCCATGGAAAAGGAAACCCCACAGCGAATCAGATGCTCAGTTAGTATAGAAACTCAAAATGTATTGTCATTTTAGAATTTTTTATTTTCGTAATTGCGGTTCTAAGCATGTTTTGCAGCATTGGCGTGAATTTACTGGGTTCAGAGGAATAATATCTGAGTCCTTAGGAATGACTACGCATAGGGGGTATCATGGGCGAAACAGTATACTCTGTTATGTCCATGGTACTGCTCATGTCTATAGGCGACGGTTACCACTTTCCATCAGGTGGGCCGTCAGCTAGTTTGCCATTCTAAGTTGTATAAAAAAAAGCATGGGTAGATTCTTAATTTTAAGTACCATTAATAATTTTGGTTTCATCCTACAGATAGGTATTAGGTTTTTCAGTTAATCATTGCTGTGGATGTCTGAACTGCAGCAACATACATTATATTTAATTTATATATTAATCAACCTGACTTTATGGACACTTATTGTTATACATACTTAGTTTCTTTCATACATACACTTACATTACTTGCATACACCCACTCTAATTTTCCTACCTGGGGGGAAAGGGATTGTTAGTAATGGAAACTAAGAATCCTATTGCTGGCAATATACCCAACCAGGTCGACCTCCTCGCGGTTCCCCCTGGAAACTATTATGATAAATTCCAGATGAATTCATTATGATGGGTTAACTGGCTTGTTTTCATTCTCATCGATCACCCTTCACTGGTGCCCCACCAGCGCAATAAAAAAATTGCCTACCTTGCTTTAGAAATATAATTTTCGTTTATATAATTAAAATCCGTTATTGGCTGTATTTATATGAGAATTAGCATATACGTTGTTTTTTAAGAGCTGTGGATTTTTGTATTAAATAAGTAAAAAAGAAAGAATACCTTCATGTTTTTTGGATAGCTCAATTAACGCCGTCACTGCATCTTGAGGCTGAGCTGGTACCGGATCTATTAAACTCTCACCCGTGTCACCAAGTCCATCCGTGCCATAATAATTACGTTCACCGAATGTTGGGAATAGGGAGTTATTGATACCTCTATATATTGGTACCTGTAAGTAGATTTAAAATTAACTTTATATGTTAGTTCCTGTCTTCCGCGTGGGATAATAAACGTAGCATGATGTTAAATAGTCTATAAAACTCAAGACATGAGCTATCAAATGCATAAACATTTTTTATTTCCGTCTGGTAGTTCCAAAGATTAGCGCGTGCAGACAAAAGACTATGTTCCACAAAAAACTTACTTCAATTATGACAAAACCTTTATATATATATATATATATATATATATATATATATCTGCGCATTGCGGATAGGGGCCATGATCGCCGTTCTGGTTCGTATCTGGCTCAAAGGATATCTCTGGCAATCCAACGCGGAAATGCCGCAAGTGTCATGGGGACCTTTGGGTCGAGTACGGATCATGAATGGGACTGATCATTAATTTAATTTTTTTTTGTGATAAGTTCATAATTTATTTGACTATGTATTAATTTCAGCTGTAATACTGAGAATCTACAAATATATATTATATTATTATATGTATATAGAAATTTGGTATTCACGTATTATATGGGATAGAAATGGATACATGCTACTTTTTAACCCGGTCAGTAAATATATCCCGGTCACGCGAACGAAGTTGCAGGTAGAAACAAATACTTACATCTTGTCTGTTAATTAGTTTCAATATTCGCTGGTTATTCGTGTAAACGTTATGTTCGGCTGTATTGCCGCGAACTGTGGTGAGAGCTACCACTTCAGGACTGAAATGAGTTAATAATTTTACACTCAGTAATATTTTGAGTACTTGTAAAGTTTACAACAAGCATTGTCATATAAACCGTTAATTATCCACTGTCGAAAATAGCCTCCCCCAATAACTTTGGAGGAGATTGTTAGCAATGTGAACTATTAATCCCATTGCTAGCAATATATCTTGTTAGATCAACCTCCACGTGGTCCCGCCTGGAAACCATCGTGCTGAATTCCAGGTATATTCATCCCGATGGGCTAAATGATCTGCTTTTTCATTCTCACTGGTGTCTCACTAGCGTAGACCATTAGGGTTACCATCCCATTATCACGCATTAAATAAACTTACCCATTAAAATGTTTTTGGTACAATAAAGCGAGAAAAATAGCCATAGCGTCATCGCCGCCTGCGTCGTTGTCTATTATTATTTTCGTATTATCATTGGGTCTGAAATTTTAATTATTAATTTTAATTTATAAAATAGTTTTATTATAAAAATTAATATCGCATATTAGATAAAACATTATGAGCTAATTAAAAAAATCTTTTTAAATAATCAAAGCTTAATATTGATGAACTATGTGTAATATAAAGCGCACTAAATTAAAATACTGTTCTTGTAAAATAAATAAAAATTATTTTTATAGTTTTTAATAATAATAATATAAAATATTAATATTGTTATATATACATTAGACATTTGTCGAATATTGCCGTTGTGGTAAACGTATCTTTGTTCAAATTACTAGTCAGTTATGATGTTACAAAAAATCGGGAACAAATTAAACTGTGATACTGCGGTCAAATATGTTTATAAAAAAGGAAATATATCGTGTATAATTATTAAAATAATTATATACTTACAAATTAAAAGCATTAACATATATATATAACGACACTGTGAATATATAACATAATAATATTGAATACATAATACGTAAAATTATATTATTTAAAGTAAAATACGTGTTTATTCACACTTGTCCAGAAGTGAACTGATTAACTGACCAATATAGATATTCTGGGCCTACTTTACAATATAATTAAGTCAATTGTTTTACTTAAATATGTTACAATGTGATTAAATAGCGATTATTACATTGATATAAAAAGATTCCAAGACGCACACAATCGAAGATTAAAATCTGGCACTGAAAATAGATAGAGTTTAGAAAAATTAGTATAGGTATTCAGTTTTGAAGCTCGTTTGACATTAAAACTGTGTATCAAATAGAAATGCGCAGGGTTTAAAGGAATCCTTACATTCCATGTTAGCTTAAGGACCATAGTAATATTAGAATATACTGAAATGAGGTGCTGCTAAAGAGATTTAGAATGGAAAATGTTGTATCGCAAACGCTGAACGCAACGGCTATCTGCGTTTTTCTTCAGAGTGATCAAATTTAGAGTAGTACTCTTTGTGAAGCGACGTATGTATGGAGTGACGTATGATTTTCTTTTTTTGATAGGTGAAAATGGTATGGTAACTCCGCCTGCGCTAACGGGATATGCTGGCGGAGCACCAGTGAAGGGTGATAGATGAGAATGATTACAGGCCAGTTAGCTCATCATGATGAATTCATCAAGAATTAACCATGATAGTTTCCAGGGGGAACCGCGAGGAGGTCGACCTGGTTGGGTTAGGTTAGGTTAGCAATGGGATTTTAGTCTCCATTACTAACAATTCCTTTCCCCCCTGTGACGTATGATTTAGTGTAGCATATAAAACTTCGCATGTGTCATGTGAAATATTTCATATATGTTTGCATGTCTGTGTTTTTGATTTAAAGAGGACAATATGATATGATAACTGCAGAATATTTTATTGGATATACTATATTTAATTAAAAATAACAGTTTAGTCTTTAAGCAACGTATGAGATACTACTATAGTATTATATTATCTGTGGTATGAACATTACTGTTCACATCTGTAGCCGATATTTACTTTTTTCCATAATTATACATCGATAGTTTGTTTGTTATTTACTGTAATATAAAAAAAATTTATCGTCCTTTTGGGTATAACTTCTATTGCGATACCTGTGTGAATCTAGGATATATTTTAAATCGATGGTAATGGATTATATTATACATAATTGCTAAACATGATTATTGACAAACATGTGTCTGTATAGATAAATTAATTACTCTGCCTACATGTGAAGATGTAGTGAACATAAACAGTTTTACTACAAAGAAATATTAGTGTTTTGTTAAACACTGTTTAGATAAATAGTGTTTAACAAAACTATCCGAGTGATTATTAGAACGCTGATTATAATGTCAATTTATAATTTTATGTACCAAAATTTGTATAGATTAGGTTAGGTAAATCGAAATATATAGGTACATATTTAGGTACATCGGCAATAAAGAAGCAGGTATGTAGGTTCTATTTACCTGGAAAGGTTTTTTTTATTTGCTTTAAGTCCCGATTGTGTATTTAAAGTATGAAAAAAAGATATAGAAATAAAAAAAATACCTTTAATATTTAAAGTTCATTTATTTTTCTTAATAATTATTAAATAAATAAATATCCGCCGCACAATTACACTAAGGACCAGATTCACAATGAGTACTAGAAAACGAACAACTAGTGTAGGGGTGGGTAATATTGGGGGGAAGGGATTATTAGTAATGTGGACTGCTAATGCTTAGTAATGGCATTAATAATATACCCCTGTTAGGTCAATCTCCACGTGCTCCCCCTGGTAGAATCCTCCCCCATCCATCCCCCATCATGCTGAATTCCAGGTGTATTAATCACAGTAGACTAACTGACCTGACTTTTCATCCTCACCTATCCATCCCTCATTAGTGTCCCGCCATAATTTACCGATAGTGCTGGCAGGGTTACCATTTCATTACCATTTATTAAAAAAACAATATATAATATATTTTAGTTACAATATCTATATACTCGCTCAATAACGAATATATTAAATATTTGTTATTTTTTTATGCAACTTAGAATGGCAAACAAGCTGACGGCCCACCTGATGGAAAGTGGTAACCGTCGCCTATAGACGTGAGGGGCATATTTAATATACAACATCGAAATGAAGTACCCAATCGAAATTAATATAGATAACTTATTTGTATGCGCGATATCAATGATTATTTTTCCACCATCGAAGTCGAGAAAAACCCAATATAATCTGTTCTCCTTTAACTAAAGGTTGTCTGTAAGAGATAGCCCTAGCGATAAGACCGCCTTCTGTACCTTTATGTGTATATTTCAATCTGTATTTATGTTACTGTATTTCACTTGAATTATTCACTTGTCATTGTATATATTTATTTATGGTGCAATAAAGAGTTAAATAAATAAATAAGTAGTTATTATTATTATTACACCATAATACCAAGTCAGAGTGATTAAAAAACATCTAAATTGCCACGAACAGGAATGGAACCCTGGACCTGGTAACGCGAAGTAACGAGTCTACCACAGCGTTGTGGAACTTGTCACTTATGCTGTTTGATTCATTTCAGCGGAGAAGATGTCTATTAAGAATGATTGGTACACTTCTTTATTTGATGAAAAAACTAACTGGACGTTGGCGTTAATTGGGCTCAGGTCATATTCGTTTGTATTGATTCCTCTGTCATTACCTAAAACAGACAAAATACATTTTTTTTTCAACTAAATCATAAACTGAAAGGGAAGATTTGATAAAGAAACTTTTTTTTTATACAACTTAGAGTGGCAAACAAGCTGACGGCCCACCTGATGGGAAGTTGTAACCGTCGCCTATAGACATGAGCAGTAACATGGACATAACAGAGTATACTTTGATAAAGAAAATATAGTTTTTAAATGTTTAATTGGTGTTTTTTTTTTTATATTAATATTTCTCTCTATTTTAATTTGTAAAATCAAATAATTAAGGTTAGCGTATGGAATGGGATGATGGGACTGACATATCCTTATAGGATAAAAGCCGTCAAATATATATTTTTTTTTATTTAATTTATTTCGAACTAGCTTTTACCCACGACTTCGTCTGCGGGATATGTATACTGATCGAGATAAAAAGTAGTCTATATTATAGTACGTATGTTCAACAAAAGCTTAGTTGCGGTTGCCAATCCGCTTGCCAAGCATGGCCACTACTGGCAAACTGGGGAAGCTTATGTTCAGCAGTGGAAAGTTAATGGCTGATATGATGATGATGATGATAGTATGTGTATACCAAATTTCATAGTGTTTGGTTAAATCATTAAGGCGGTAGAAGGTAACAAACAAACTCAATCTCACATTTATAATGTTAGTATTTTCTCACGTCACTGATTCTAAACCAATTTCGATATTACGAGTACTTCAAAATGGAGAAGGTTGTATTTTTTATGTTTGTATACCAGAGGGAGACTTTGTACAAAAGTCGATTGCTTGGGTACTTCTGTCCCAATCGTGTTTCAACCGTAAAGCAGTTGTGTTTGCATGGCTGTGTTTCGGTTTGATATGGCGTGAATTTACTGGGTACAGAGGAATAACACCTGAGTCCTCAGGAATGGCAATGCATGGGGGGTATTATGGGCGAAACTGTATACTCTGTTATGTCCATGGTACTGCACATGTCTATAGGCGACGGTTACCACTTTCCATCAGGTGGGCCGTCAGCTTGTTTGCCATTCTAAGTTGTATAAAAAAAATTGTTACCTCATAACGTACAAGTACCTTTGAGATAATAAAAAAATGGGTATTTCTTTATCTCAAAGGTACTTTCAGACTAGTCCCATAGAAACTGTATTAAAATCTTTTCCGTAATTTAGTTCTAAAAATAAAATAACAGCTTTATCCACGACTGAAAACAATATTTTTTGTGGAACAAAATTTAAAATTATTAAAATGCAGGTATGTTAAGTTTCATATAAATTGCAGTATTTGTGTCATCTATCTCTAGATAACTCTGTGAATGATTCTTTTGAGTGATTACTTACCACATAATATAATACTGTTATTTGAGTACTTGATTTCTTCCACCAAGTCCCTGGCCATTGCAATACTCATAACGGCTGGATCCAACATCACCCAGTGCGTACTATTCGCTGAGGAAATTCTCTCGTACTCGTTTAAGACCTGCATTGTTTTTGTTGGTATTGAACCCAGGACTGATACGCGCCATTCCTGGAAACATTTTTCAAATTCAAATAATATTTTTTTTATACAACTTAGAATGGCAAACAAGGTGACGGCGCACCTGATGGGAAGTGCTAACCGTCGCCTATAGACATGAGCAGTAACATGGACATAACAGAGTATACTGTTTCGCCCACCCCCTATGCGTTGCCATTCCTGAGGACTCAGGTGTTATTCCTATGTATCCTGTAAATTCACGCCATATCTCACCCTTCAAACCGAACAACCATGCAAACACAACTGCTTCACGGTAGAAACACGAATAGGACAGAGTCAAACGACTTTTATACAAAGTCTCCCTCAACTTATCTTTAATTAAATATTTTTGTTTACAAGCACTTTAAACCGTATTTTTTATTAATATAGGGTTCAGAAAGTTGTTATCTATTGAGAAGAGCTCACAAGAAGATCAACAGTTCCTTTTTTAAATTCTTTCTTAACATTATGTGTATTTATTCAAATATACTATGTCTAAAATTACATGGTCGTTAAAAGCCCGTGCATGATCGACTAAAACCATGCACACTTGTCATTCAAGTAATAGGCTTTTATATATCCACACCAATGTAAAAATATATTCTTTTAGATAAAAAAAAAATACTAATCGGTTCAGAAATAGAGTTTCGAGATAATAAACATAAAAAAAATACAACCGAATTAAGGTCCTTCTCTTTTTTTGTAGTCGGTTAAAATTAAAAAAAAAAAACAGTGTATTCACTTGCCTTGGTAGTAGTAAGAGAAGTTTTTATTTCTGAGAATGGGATTACGGTAACCTTTTCTGGGTCAGCATTTTGGGAAATAATAAAATACGACTCCGGGTCCATGGCTGCATTAAATTCGGCTTCAGTCGAATTTTCACCTGTTAATCAGACAAAGTGATTAAATTTGCCGTGTGGTCCCGGCATAGAACCTTCACCTTTTTCTTTCCTTAATTTAGGAACTTAATACTTGGGATAGGATAGAGGGATAGGCACTAACGTCCCTTCTAAAACATCATCAACAGCATAACTGCAGTTGCCTACTCGCTTGCCAAGAATGGCAACTACTAGCGAAACTTCCTAATAGGAGAAGGACTATGTTCAGCAGTCGACAGTTAACGCCTGATATGATGACGATAAAACAAGACAATAATACTTACATTGAGAGTATCTTACATATAAATCTTTAAATGTATCCAGAGGGAAACTGTACAAAATAGTTTGCTTAGATATTTCTGTCCCATTCGTGTTTCAACCGTAAAGCAATTGTGTTTGCATGGCTGTGTTTCGGTTTGAAGGGTGGGATATGGCGTGAATTTACAGGGTACAGAGGAATAACACCTGAGTCCTCAGGTATGGCAACGCATGGGGGGTATCATGGGCGAAATAGTATACTTTGTTATGTCCGTAGTACCGCTCATATCTATAGGCGACGGTTACCACTTTCCATCAGGTGGGCCGTCAGCTTGTTTGCCGTTCTAAGTTATATAAAAATATATATACGAGTATATAATTTTCACCTAAAGAAACATTATCAAAAAAAAAATTATCAGGACTCAGGGCTGGACAGAGAGAGGTCCCAGGCAGTTGTCTACACTGTCTAATAAATAATCTAGCCCTGCGCGTCATTCATTGGTAGTCACTGAGATTTTTATTTATAAATGAAGAATTTTCATCTCAATAATTTAATTGAACAAAATTATTAGATAATGGGGGGAAAGGCATTGTTAGTAATGGAGACTATGAATCCCACTGCTAGCAATATACCCAACCAGGTCGACCTCCTCGCGGTTACCCCTGGAAACTATCATGGTTAATTCCTGATGAATTCATCATGATGGGCTAACTGGCCTGTTTTCATTCTCATCTATCACCCTTCATTGGTGCTCCGCCAGCGTATCCCGTTAGCGCAGGCGGGGTTACCATACCATTTTTACCCATCAAACTATTAGATGATAGGTACAATAATTTGGTATTTAGTAACGTCAATTGGCGGTTTATAAGGGAGGCCTATGTTCAGCAGTGGACAGATAATGGCTGAGGTGATGATGATTATGAATGACAATTGACTTGAAGGAGGTGTGAAACATCGACACTACTGTGTCGATGTTTACTTTTATATCACGGTAATGTTTGTGTTATTGTTTAATTAGTAATTATAATATTCAATAAATTAAAAAAGAGAATATTTTATGACATAAGTATAAATGTAACTACATATGACATAAATATACATATATGATTAGATATTGTTGAGAGGAATTTCCGTAAGTAAACATTCAGTTTAATCAAGGTTAGTAATATTTAAATCATTGATAAAAGATTACGTTTCTGAAAGTCTTACGTAAGATTGTTACTGTCTAATTTTAGTTTCATTTAAATATATCTTCACGCTATATTCTTTGCGGGGCAAGCAAATTGCCGTAGACTTTATCTTACATACATCTCTTGCTTCGTCCATTTTTCTTACCTTGACATGTCATGTCTCCATAAGTTGGTGAATAATCACATTGTTTGCCCACATTTACTGGAGAAACTTGAATACAATGTACCTACTAGAGTGCCGCAGCATCCTTGGAATCTATTTAAAAATACAGCTTGCCGAACAAACTTGGGGCGCGAATCACCTATAGTCCGCATAATGCGTCTGTATAACGATATTGTAAAAACCAAACCTGAACTTGATATTCACAACGACATTCACTCTATGTTCGTGGCTAAATTAAAATGTTGATGTACCTCGCCATTGCATTATATTGATTTATAATTTAAAATAATTTAATTACAATTTCCATTATTCATATTGTTAATATCTTTACTTATTTAATGACATTAAATAATTTAATTCTATTTTAATGTTTATCAAACACAAGGCATGCTGTGGTTGCCTATAAATGTAAGAACAGTTAGATCTAATCTACCAGTGTATTGTATTGAAATGATTTGCTGTATCTTATGTTGGTAATCCTATAAAAAAATAAATAAATTTTCCGTTCCAGGGACTATTGACTCTTCCATCAGATAGAGATTCGAGTATTCTGACACTTCCCTATGGTTGACTGGGAGAGAATGCTTTTAGCATTAAGTCCGCCATGTACACATATTTGTACTAATGAATAAATAAATAAATGAAATAGAAAATTATCAATTGATCATAATAGGTTAGTGTAGATCTACTTCGGTACTTGTATCCTTCATCTTTTCAACCGACCTCAAAAAGAAGGAGGTACGCAATTTAATTGAATTTATTGTTTTTTTGTTTGATCCTTCATTATTCCGTCAGTTCTAAACCGATTTATAAAATTCTTTTTTTGTTGATAGGATATATAATACTTACAGATTGGTCTCATAAAAATTTTATCAAAATCGGGTTAGTAGTTTAGTTTTTAAATCAAAACAACTAACTGGTTTTGTCACAATCGAAGTCGGTTTTTGTTTATGGGGCACAATTTTAATCATGGATCCTGTTATCTATATATTTAAAAAACCTGTATCATGTTGTTCATTCATACTATTCTCCGAAACAGCTAAACGGACTTAATTTAATTTTCGTATATGTATATTGTTTGTACCTACTCGAGAAATCATGATAGTTTTTCACCTGCAAAGAATTAGATGAAGAAAAATAAATGAAGGTAGCGAGCGAAACGACAATTTTAAATTATATAATATATCCAACTTACTATAAACGTGTCCAGCACCAACATAAAGATGAGAGAGTCTGCCAATGAAGCCAGGATCCAATTGTATTGCCAGAGCTATGTTCGTTATAGAACCAATCGCAACAACTGTGAGATCACCTTAAATAAAGAAATTTTGATGCCCATTAATTCTTCTCTTTCTTTGTCTAAGGAAAGTAGATACAGTTTTATTTGAGAAATCAGTTCAGGGTACGATAGGGCTGATATATGTGAAGAAAGTAAAAGCTTTTAAAATTATAAAAAAAAAAAAAATAAAGAAATTATTTACAGGTTGAAAAATTTTGCCTTCGACAACATGATCCGGTAGGATTTAATGCCACATCTTTCTGCTGTTTGAACTGAATGTGTTTCTAATTGGATTTAAATGGATGATAATGGAATGGTAACCCCATCTGCGTTATCGGTATACACTGGCAAGGCACAACTAAGAGATGATAGGTGGGGATGAAAGCAGGTCAGTTAGTCCATCCTGTTCAATTCAATAAGAATTACCCAGGATAGTTTTTAAGGGCAACCGCGTGGAGGTCGAAGTGATAGGGAATATTGCTAGCAGTGGGGCAGTTAGATCCCATTACTAACAATTCCGTACCCCGCCAGTGTATACCGATAACAGGCGGGGTTACATTTCATTTTGTGTCACTGAACTGAACATAGCTTCCCCCATAAAAAGGGGGTTGGCAAATTTTTTTAATGAATGATAATGGAATTGTAACCCCGCCTGCGCTAACGGTATACACTGGCGGGGTACCAGTGAGGGATAATAGATGTGGATGAAGAGGTAGGTCAGTTAGCCCATCGGGATAAATACACTTGGAATTCATCACGATAGTTTCCAGGGGGGACCACGGGGAGGTCGACCTGTTAGGGTATATTGTTAGCAATGGGACTGATAATCCGCATTACTAACAATCCCTTCCCCCCAAGGGGTTTGCCAGTAGTTGCCCCACTTGGCCGACTGATTGGCTCAGTTCGATTTTTGGTGATGTTTTAAGAGATTCCATTATCATTCATAAAAAATCCATAAAAAAGATGATTTGAAGACATATAAGTGTTCTTGCTTATCTATCTTTGCAAGGTCCTCTGTAAAGGACCTACCACGAACATAGATTATTTGACATAATCTCGTTTTGTTATTGTACCATTCTGGTGTAACTATGAAGATATTAGATACTTCATCTTATCAGTCAAGAGGTTCACTAGTTACTAGATTAGTTCGATAAACAACTCAAAACTTTATCACTTTATATAACATAAAATAGAGCAGTAGTTTATTATTATAATATCTTATATATAAAATTCTCGTGTCACGGTGTTTGTTACCAAACTCCTCCGGAACGGCTTTACCGATATTTATGAAATTTTGTGTGCATATTGGGTAGGTCTGAGAATCGGCCAACATCTATTTTTCATACCCGTCAATGGTAAGGGTGACCCACCCCAAAATATTTTTTTTAATTTTTTGACAATTTTTTTTATTTTTATTTTATTATAATTTAGCATTGAAAAATACATACGACATCAAATTTTCCTCGTTTTACGATCAAACCCTGTATTTTAATTGCGATTTTTATATTTCGCAATAAGTGGTAAAACAACGTTTACGAGGTCAGCTAGTAATACAATAAATTCTATATTACCTTCATACAGTTTAGATAATTCTATAAGTGCTAATACAGCGTGCTTCTTTTCTGGGTTCAGTCTCTTAAATTCTTCATGTTCAATATCTCCAAGTCCGTCATTACCAAAGAAACGGTCTGTTTCTATTCCATAAATCAATGGTTGTTTAGATCCTCTATATATTGGTATCTGAAAGTGTAATGCGTTAATCTTAATTTATTTACTAGTTGTAACCTGTGGCTTCTCTCATATGAATCAGTATATATGGTAAGGGGGGAAAAGGATTGTTAGCAATGGAGTTTGACAGCCCCATTGCTAGCAATATACCTTATTAGGTCGACCTCCACGTAGTTCCCCCTGGAAACCATTGTGAATAATTCTTGTTGAATTCGTCACAATGGGCTAACTGACCTGCTTCATCCTCACCTATCATCCTTCACTGGTGTCCCCGCCGGTGTATACCGATAGCGCGGGTGGGGTTACTATTTCATTATCATCCATTTAAAAAAAACAGTATATAAAGTATGCTATATGCTATTAATTTATTACACCAAAAACATAAAAATAAATAATAAAATATAAACAATTTAAGTGAAACACAGTAGTATGAAATACAGATTAAAATATACACATAAAGGTACAAAAGGTGGTCTTAGCTAGGGCAATCTCTTATAGACAACCTTTGCTATGGATTATATATCAAATGAAATGAGATTTATTCATGAAATCATAACTGTAGTTTCTTAAGTTAACTAATATTAATATTATAGTTTTAATATGTCATTTGCTAAGTTAGGATATAAGCTACCCGTGTACCAAATTTTTTTCAAATCCGTTTAGTAGTTTTTGCGTGAAAGAGTAACAAACATGCATCCATTCATTCTACCTTATAAATGTTTGCATTTATAATATTAAGTAGATAATCTTAAATGTACATATCTGGTAAAGAAGTAAAAATGCAACATGTCACGTAGTCATTACATCTTTTTATTTCAGAACACATAATACATTAGTACGGTAGAATGAAAGCTCGAAATAACACTCAGTGTCAAGCCGTATAGTCTAATAATATTCTCAAAATATCAATATAAAACCATAACACCGTTAAGTTTAAAGATGAAAATCCCAAAATCAAAATGTTTCGTCATGATAATAATATAACTATTATTATAGTGAGACTAGTCGTAATGGGAGTTCAAAGTAATTCAGTGAGCTATTAACAATGTTAAGGATAAATATTCCGAAAGTTTTGCTGTTTGAATAATTTAAGAACATGAAAATCCGCAAAAGTACTACAATTGATTAATACAATTCAAAGGATCAATAAGCTAAAGTGGCAATTGACCGAACACGTAACTTTTTTTTTATGGATGATAATGGAATGGTAACCCCGCCTGCACTATCGGTGTACGCTGGCGGAGCACCAGTGATAAATGACAGGTGAGGATGAAAGCAGGTCAGTTAGCCCATCGTGATGAATTTCACAAGAATTAACCAAATAATGGTTTCCCGGGGGAACCGCGTGGAGGTCGACCTGATAGGGTATATTGTTAGTAATGGGGCTGTTAGATCCCATTATTAAACAATCCCGTCTCCCCAAACACAAGTTTTACCATTTATCGAGTTGATAAATGAAAAGGTAGAAAGATTCTTAAATGACGATCCTGTGTAGACAAAAATAGGGTAAATCTATTATTTAATAGAGGGAAAACTTTAAATGTGTCGCACCAAGTCAAAAGATGAAGGTAGGTAAGGTCAGTTTCTAGTGATTGTCTACGAGAAAGCCAAAGGACAATATAACTGTTCTGCAAAGAGCAATGGACGACTAAAATGACAATGAAGCTAAAGTTAAACGTAATTTGGTACTAACGTCTGTTCTATTTATAATATTTAATATTCTTTGGCTATTGATAAATGATTGGTCTTCGTCAACGTTTCCAAAAGTGGTCGTCAACCCGATCACAGTAGGCCTGTAATGTAAAAAAAAAAACTGAAATTAAATTTGGATTTCTAATTTTCTTCCATAATGGGCATATTCCAGAATAATTTACATAACAATTGAGAATATTATTTATTAGCAAGAATAACGGTACCATTGTTTATTTTTTTTACTTTTTTTTTATGAGTGAAAATGGAACGGTAACCCCGCCTGCGTAAACGGGATATGCTGGCGGAGTACCACTGAAGGGTGATCGATGAGAATGAAAATAGGCCAGTTAGCCCATCATGAAGTATTCATAAGGAATTAACCATGATAGTTTCCAGGGAGAACCTGGCTGGGTATATTACTAGTAATGGGATTCTTAGTCTCCATTACTAACAATCCCTTTCCCCCCACGGTCCCATTGTTACCATATCGTCTTATTCGATTGAACATCACGATGGCGTTTAAGAGCCTCTTTAGAAACCACCGTGATAAGATCTTATTGTGATCATCACAGCAAATTGATCTGACTTTATCTTCAACTCTAATTACGTAAATTAATTAATTAATGTAAATAAATATTTGACGAAGAAATAAATTAAATTGAGATATTGAAATTATTATACCTATTGAATTGACATTAATTATACCAATACACTCGTATAAAGCTTTTTTTTTCTTTCAATATGATATTGTGATATCATAACAGTATTGGTTCATTAACAGTAACCAATTTAAGGTAATATAAAATAATAATGAAATAATAATAATGATGAAATTAAATTATAAGCTTGATGTAATAGATTGAGTGGTGTATTGAATATTGTTGATATATATTGGTATTGTTGACATATTGAAATAACATAATAAATTAATGTAAACAAAAATAGTATTAAGGACCCAACTTACATGTAACACCTTGTTATTTTTCAAGTAAATAATAAATAAGTAGATTAATTTTTAAGGAGATACCATTCCACTTTATAATGTAATAAATTAAAAATATTTAATGACGTAATCGAGTAACATAGTAACAAAATACTCAAATGTATCGAACATCTCATTTTGAAAGTAAATTTCTTAATTTCTTAATAATCAAGCAGTTTTAAGTCTCAACTATTTATTACTTTAATTGACATATAAACAATAATTAAATTATCTCTGATTATCAGTAACAACTAAAAAAAAACCTACATGCTGAAAATGTAGTTTGTACTGTAATGCGATGGACATATGATTTCTTATCCCTTATTCCTGGACATTTCATGATATCAACTCTACATTTCGTATATATATACATACCCATTAAAGAATTTTTCATTTAATAGTGCAATAAATATGGCCATAGCGTCATCGGCGCCACCGTCGTGATCTATTAAAATTTTTGGTCCCATTATAATTTTTTTATTACTGAAAAAATATATGTAAATTGTTATTATTCATTAAAAACTATAAACATATACTTTATATTTTTTTAGAAACATATAAAGTTATATGAAATTAATAAATTTTCGATACATACATACATTATTATACCATTTTTTGCATTTACTATTCTACTCATATTTCATTATTATAAAAATATATTAGAAAATAATTGAAAATTCCTAATCTTTTCACATTTCTTATTTATTAACTGCATAATAATATAGAAAAGTAAATCAAATCTCGAATTAAATATTTAAGAATGTAAGTTAAATTTATATATATATATATTTATTATATTGAATTGCCATCTTGCAACCCTATTGCAGCATATAAAAATCGCGATTGAAAAACAGGAGTCGATCGTAAAACGGTGAAAATTTGAAGTTGTATGTATTTTTCAATGCTAAATCATAATAAAATAAAAATGGAAAAATTTGTCAAAAAAAATTTTTTTTGGGGAGGGTCATCCTTATCATTGAGGGGTATGAAAAATAGATGTTGGCCGATTCTCAGACCTACCCAATATGCATACAAAATTTCATAAAAATCGGTAAAGCCGTTTCGGAGGAGTTTGGTAACAAACACTGTGACACGAGAATTTTATACATAAGATATATACTTAAAAACTTACCTGTTGAAATGTAACGTTAAAAAGATGGCTACAAATATTGCCGTTAATAACAACAATAACGATAAAAATCCAATAAATATATGTTTTTTATTCATTTTATTCTAAACTTTTAATTTAAATTATTAGGCGTTCTTTCTATTCATTGTTTTATCAACCAATAACGGAACGCACGATGAAACAAGACATGTGAAATGGAATGAATGACAGTTCTAAAGATAGTGTGGACGACTGCTGATTATTTAATATATTACCTGTGTAACAGATAAATCACTCCATACATAATTAGTACCGATCATTTGATTTGCCTACACTTAAATATTACATGCGAATATGAATCTAACTGTTAGAGTATAAAGTTATTATTGCTTTGCAGCTCCATATATAGATAACAGAGGGAGGTCTAAAAGGTTCCTGCAAAGTTTATAATATCCTAGTTAAAATAAACTTTTTATGGGTAAAATTAGAATGGTTACTCTGCCTGCTCTATCGTTATACGCTGCCAAGGTTCATAGACGGTGAGTCAGTTACCATCAGGTGAGCCGCATGCCCGTTTGCCCCTTGTGTTATAAAAGAAATGAATTTTTAAAATGGTTTAAGTGTTTTTTAGATTATCCATTACAAGCAAAAACAAATATTTCGTCATTATAATATTAGTTTAATATTAGTTTAATATTAGTTTTGTCCGTGTGGTCCCAGCATAAAGAAGGCCACCCCTTCTTTACTGTGGGTGTCGTAAGAGGCGGCTAAAGAACTTAATGGTTGAAGAATCAGCAGCAGCGTCTCCCTTGAAATATCTGTAAAAGCTTAACCGCGGTTGCCAACCTGCCTGTCAAGCGTGGCAACTACTGGCAAAACTTCTGTTAGGGGAATGACTTATGTTCAACAGTGGACAGTTAATAGCTAAATTGATGATGGCGAATGTTAGTTTAGATCATTGAGTTCACGGTAAGTACACAAGTAGTAAGCAGTGCAAGTACTTCTTCATCTTCCTACCCTTATCCCAATTATTATTTGGGGTCGGCGCAATATGTTTTTTGTCCATATTCTAAAAAAGATTTGGCTTAGTTTTATCATCGGTCGACTGCCTGACGTCAACCCACTTTGGGGGAGTAATTTTTAAATAATAATAATAATAATCTTTATTTATTACTCACAAGGACCTGTTTAGACTGTGACTGTGTGTGACTATTTAGTATTTTAACTTAATTTTATTATCCTTGTGAGAGTCTGGTGTGTGAACTAGGTCGAAACCTGTACTAAAGATCTCCAGGCTCTCTCCGGAGTTTTACAATATATTACTGAACATCTATATTATTATATTAAAATTAAGTGCAAGTAATTATAAAGTATTATTTCCTACCTACTGTTCTATCTGGATATTTATTCATACAACTAAAGTACTCAGCTATATCGCACGTGCGAGAAGATACTCAAATCCTCAATTAGATAATTATTTTATTGGTGCTTCTAAATATAATCAGGTAGGCATTTATAGTTATAAAACATTTGACGAAACGTTTTATCAAACATCACTCCAAAGATATGGAGAAGAATATCGCAAATTTGCGATATTATAATCTAATATTATAATCGCAGGATATTTATCATATTTTATCCACTAATGTTTTAAATGTCAAAATTTGTAGATAATATATGTATGCATGGGGAACCAAAATTAGGTTTCTAATTGACGTACTACGGTCTGGTTCAGAATATCAAAGATGTTCGTTAAGAGGGACGAGAGCTGACCTTTAGCTGTGACGTAGTAAGTTGCATCCACCAGTAGGTGCTTTGTGTCTCCGCTGGGGGACAATCCTTGCGTCCAGGACCTTGCAACACTTCTTCTCGGCCAAAGGTCGTCTCTGTCTTGAGATCAGCGGAAGTGGACTGTATCAGTGGTGTATCACGGTATATCCAGTGTGGATAGATGATAGGAAAACGAAATACACTCAGCTACGACGACACGTGGTCAAGAAGAGCGGTTTCCACCCAGCGTGGGCGAATATTAGTAGGAAGTCATTGTAGAATAATGCGGACTACCAGTCCCATTGTTCGCAATAAATCCTATCTGGTCGACCTCCACACAGTCCCCCTGGAAACCATCGTGCTTATTTTTTTCTTTAATCTTAATAATCACTAATCTTAATAAAACTTTTGTATACTTATTTAATTAATACATTAAATTTGCATGCCTACAATTTTAATGCAATTAAACACGTGCCAAAAAGTTCTGTCACATGATCTTTGTTATGTTGAATGTCTGTTTAAAACAAAATAAATATTTCATTTCATTTCTAGGTGTATTCATCACGTTGACCTGCTTTTTCATCCTCATCTATCATCGTTCACTGCTGCCTCACCAGCGTATACGGATAGCGCGAGCGTAGGTTTTTTTAATGGGTGATAATGGAGTGGCATCCCCACTCATGCCACCGGCATATACTAGCGGGGCACCAGTGAGAGATGATTGCTTTGATAGGTGAAGATGAAGTACGTCACTTAGTCCATCGTGACGAATTTAACAAGAATTGTTTACGATGGTTTCCAGGGGGAACCACGCGGAGATTGATCTAACAGGGTATATTGCTAGCAATAGCGCTGGCAAACTTCATTGCTAACAATCCCTTTCCCCCCGCGCAGGGTTACCATTCAATTATTATAATCCATTACACAAAAAAAAACCTTGCTAGCAAAATACCGTACATTTGTTTGGATAATCTTAACACAAAGCATACAGGATACTTTTTGTAATTAATTATGCTATGTGATATTAGCTATTTTTAAATGTAGAAGATAAGTCATCTTTTATTATTATCAATAAATAATTTTATTTAAAAGCCAAAGTGAAATTGAAAGTAAGTTTATTGCCATCTATCATTTCATAGACGAAACTATGGGTAGCAAACATTCCTTAGTGAGCTACAGTGTCATATTGAGTATTGGATAGATGTCGCTCCGGAATTATAATAAGATTGCACATTGAAGGTAATTTCTGCGCCATCTATCATTAAATTAATAAAACTAGACAGGTATTGGTACTTTCAATGTTATATTTGTTAAGTAGATGTCTCAAAAAGACATACCACGCCGGCATACACAGACCACCAGTGTATGCCGGCTCAAAACCCAGTGACCCGGAGGTAGTTGCCTCCGGAGATGCAGCCGGGGTAAAGGGGTTTACCCCGAGACCCCTACCTCACCCGCCTATACTATTAAAGGCGGGCAAGAAGACCCGGATGATGATGAAAAAGACATATAAATAAATAAAAATCAAGAAAAAGGTCTTTTAGTTTAATACTTTTGGTTAAAATATTATCAATTACTCGTATTAGCATGGATTAGATATAGCATATAGATAAATGCCTGTGGTTTTTACAGGTTCGTTAATTTTTTTATGGCTACGATAATTTTTTTTGAAGGGATCATGAGGAGGTCTATTTAATAGAGCACATCTTTATTATTGGGACCGTTAGTCCCCATTACCAACAATTCCCTTCATCCCCTTATGCGTTGTTATCATTGTCAATTTATAATTAATTTTTTTGTTATCTAAGACCCCGAAGTAGAGAATAAGATAAAATAAAATCTTTTATAAAACTATACGAAATTTTTGTATATACTAATATTATAAAGAGGAAAGTTTGTGTGTGTTTGTAATGGATAAACTCAAGAACTACACAACAGATTAAAAAAAAAAAAACAGAAATCTACATTGTCAGTGAGTAATATAGGATTGCCGTGTGGTCCCGGCATAGAATAGGCCACCTCTTTTAGAGGCGACTGAAGGAGGACGAGGGACGGGCAGCAGCGTCCTTCTTAAAACATCACCAAAGCCTAACTGTGGTTGCTAATTTGCCTGCTAAGCGTGGCAACTACTGGTAAACCCCCCCAAGGGGGAGGTTTTGTTCAGTAGTAGTCAGTTAAAGGCTGATATGATGAACACAAGCTATATATTATTTTCGATTATTCTATTCACTCGTGTAGAGTCGTGCCGGATCGTTAGGACAATATTTTATAGAAAAAGTCGAAATAGTAAGAGGTTTAAATTTAGTTTATTTATATTAGTTATATTTAGTTTATTTATATTAGTTATACATAGGAGATCAGTCTTCATTAAATGGCCTGTAATCTTCCTGAAAAAATAAAATAAAAATTTAATTAATATTTAAGCTTTGCGCTAATGAGAGCCCGGGTTCGATTCCGGTTGAAACAGTTTAAGAAATGAACTTTTCTGTATTGGTTCGAGTCTGAGTATTTTGGCATGTAACCCTGTGTGCCTGGTAACAGAAGGTATTCTAGTATGAAAACCGGGAAATTGGTGTACATAGTGTGGCATACAGTCTTCATTATCATATTACCAGTTAATTGTCCACTACTGAACACATGTCCTCCACATAAGGGGGTTTTACCAGTAGTTGCCACGTTTGGCAGGCGGGTTGGCAACAGCATTTATCTTTTGGTGATGTTTTAAGAGGGACGCTGCTGCTCATCTTCATCTACCAGAGGGAGACTTTGTACAAAAGTCGTTAGCTTGTATACCTCTGTCCCATTCGTGTTTCAACCGTGAAGCAGTTGTGTTTGCATGGCAGTGTTTCGGTTTGAAGGGTGGGATATGGCGTCAATTTACAGGGTACAGAGGAATAACATCTGAGTTCTCAGGAATGGCAACGCATGAAGGGTATCAAAGGGCGAAACAGTATACTCTGTTATGTCCACGCTACTGCTCATGTCTACTCGTATAGGCGACGGTTACCACTTTCCATCAGGTGGGCCGTCAGCTTATTTTCTATTCTAAGTTGTATAAAAAAAATATAAAAAAAGACCATTAAGTTCCCTTAGTCGCCTCTCATGACACCCACGAGAAAGGAAAGGGTGGCCCATTCTATCCCGGGACCACACGACAACCAGTAAAGATTAATTACCTGATGATAAAACCACCACTTCCGTAATTTTTGCGTTGCGTTTAACGGCATCAACTCGGTTAGATCAGGGGCGTCTTGATTTATTTTAATATTTGTGAATGTGTTCTGAAATAAAAATACATTACAATGTAATACAATGGGATATGGTTATATTAAAGTAATCAAAGTATAAATATAATTGTGAGAGATTAGTGTTTGAGATAGGTATAAGAATACCTTTTTTTTTTACAACACAGGGGGCAAACGAGCATGCGGCTCACCTGGTGGTAAGTGACTACCGCCGCCCATGATCACCCACAACACTAACGACATTGCAGGTGTACTGCCGACCTTTTAAAAACCTGTAGTACAGTGCACCAAGTTGCGACAATAACCAGTTATTTTAGTTTAAAAACTAATACTTTAAACGAATTTTGATAAGATGGAGCAATCTGTAAGTTCTCTTCAGATAAAAAAGAATTTTCCAAATTGATTAACAACTAACGAGGTTATGAGGTAATAAATATGAAAGAAATAATGCTCCTTTCCACTCAGGGTTTACTGGAAGAGAACTCTTACAGAGTTAAGCTTGCCTCTTGTACATCTTTATCTATATATATAAAAATTAATGCCACTTTTTGTTGTAATTTTATAACTCAAGAACGGGCTCACCTATCCAAACCAAATGTTTAGGCTTTGTTCGGACTACTTAGTAGATGGTTTAAGTGACAAATTTGGTCGAGCGGTTCTTCATTTATCACATGTTTTGTAACAAATGAATTCAATAAATGGCGGATCATTTTGCTAATGGGGATTTTTGTGTCAAATTCAAACTTTTTTTAAGATGGGAATTGTGCTGTGAAATTGAAATTTTTTCAGTGTTGACAGTACAATTAAAATAGCTAGCAATAATTTTTTTTTTGTTTGAATAAATAAATTTGATGTTAATTTTTTTTTATTATTTCACTTTATACTCGTACGTAGCGAAGCACGTACCGGGCCGCTAGTTTAATATACATTATTGTTTGTATTTTTTTGTTTACAATAAAGAATAAATAAAGAAAATACAGCCGAAATGAGAATCTCCTTTCTTTTTTAAGTGTGACGAAAAAAATTTAATGTTCTTTGATATATTATACATGTAATTGTTATAGTTCTTACTTGGAAACTTTTTTTTCTTATCTGAAAGGATATACTTAGATAATGGTCCTATAGGAATTTTATTAAAATCATTTCTGTAGTTTTTTTTATACAACTTAGAATGGCAAACAAGCTGACGGCCCACCTGATGGAAAGTGGTAACCGTCGCCGATAGACATGAGCAGTACCATGGACATAACAGTATACTGTTTCGCCCATGATACTCCCTATGCGTTGCCATTCCTGAGGACTCAGGTGTTATTCCTCTGTACCCTGTAAATTCACGCCATATTCCACCCTTCAAAGTGAAACACAGCCATGCAAACACAACTGCTTCACGGTTGAAACACGAATGGGACAGAGGTACCCAAGCAATCGACTTTTGTACAAAGTCTCCCTCTGGTGAAGTTTAATTTTAAAATCAAAATAATTGATTTTCCCCACAATGGAAGTTGGTGTTTTTTGTGAAACACAATCATAATTATATTGGACAGTTTCAGATAAAAATATAATATAGATATAAGCAAACTTTAGAATTCCAAAAAAGTTCGTGTTTATTTTCTTTTTCTTTCGAATTAATTTCTTCCGATAACCCTTCGTTCACTTGCAGATGTTTTTCGGCCGATTCCGAATCCTTGATTTCCGTTCTCAACGGGAATTTGTCATTATTTTTACTGTCGCCTTTCCTTGAGGTTTCTTTTAACATTTTATTCCAGTCCATGAAAAGTTTCTGAAATTTTATTATAAGTATTAAGCACTTTAGATGCCATGTCGTCTCACCATACGAGTATAATGAGGCACCCTTTCTATTTCCGCGGATGTCGTAAGAGGCGACTAAATAGAACTTAATGGTCGAGGGATGAACAACAGCGACCCTTTTAAAACGTCACCAAAGCTTAACTGCGGTTGCTAATCTGACCGCCAAGAGTGGCAACTGCTGGCAAACCCCCCTTCCTTCCAGGGGGAGTCCTATGGTCAACAGTGGAGAGTTAACGGTTGATATATGACAAGGATTAAGCATTTAAGAGCATTTATTTTCCAATTCGCAGATTCGGTCTCCATACAATATAGAGTGTATGAGTCATGATCTAATGAGTATGATTGTTTGTATTGACCTGGGTGTTTTCTATTATCAAAACTAAAAAAATTTAAATTTAGATTAAACATTTTTTAGACCAAGACGATTTTTTTTCAATTGGACTTGGAAATTATTTCTTTTGATGTTACATATGTACGTATTTTTTTTTAATGGGTGATAATGGTATGGTAACCCCGTCTGCGCTATTGCTATACACTGGCGGGGCACCAGTGACGGATGACAGATGAAGCTGAAAGTAGGTCAGTTGGCCCATCCTGACGAATTAAACTAGAATTAGTCACGATGGTTTCCAGGGGGAACCACGTGGAGGTCGACCTGACAGGGTATATTGCTAGTAATAGGGTTATTTGACCCCATTACTAGTAATCCCTTTCCCCCTCCCCCCCATATGTACGTATTAGTTATAATTTAATATACATTTTATATAATAATAACAGCCATTTTCAATTAATTTAAAACGAAACCATGTTTTAAATTTCATACTTGGATATAAATCAAAGTATCTAATCAGTAAAGAAAAACATAATTGAATTAAGATGTTTAAATTATTATTTGCAGGTCGTTTTAAAGCTTATATGTAGTATAATATACTCGTGTACTTAATCTAAGTTTAATTTTTTTTTTTAATTTTGAACATTTAATAGATTTTCTTACTCACGAGTTTTTTTGGAGACCTAGAAAATATATGATTATAAAAACAAATAAATAAATAAAAAAACAGTTGTTTTACACAAATTTTAAGCATTTTTTTATTTCAAATTTTATAAGATTTTTAAGAAACCAAAATAAAAGAGACTCTGAATTGAGTCCGTTGTTTTGTGTATGTTACATTATTAGTCGTGTGGTCCCGGCATAGGATGGACTACCCCTTCCTTTCTAGTGGGTGTCGTGAAAGATGACTAAGGGAACTTAATAGTTGAAGGTTGGGGTAGTAGCGTTTCTCTTAAAATATTATCAAATATGATTGCGGTTGTCAAACTGCCTGCCAAGCGTGGCAACTACTGCCAAAATCTTTGTTATGGGGGAGGTCTATGTTCGGCAGTGGACACTTATTATTTACATACATACATACATTATTATTATTTATATAATTACGTTTAACACTTACTTTTTTTCTTTTAAAAGTTTTATGGATTCCTAAATTGTGGTAAACAAGAATATTAAAACGTGTATATTAAACAATAATAATAAATAATATAAATAAGTTCAGAAATAAATTACCTCTTTGCTTGCACAGTCTCCTTTTCCGCTAAAATCAAAAGAAAAAAAAATTTTGCTTATGGATTATGAGTAACTAGCTTTTACCTGTGACTTCGTCTGCATGACCGGGATATTAACTATGTCTTAGATAAAAAAAAAATAGCCTATGTCTTTCTTCATTCCATATGTATATTTAATTTTATAATGTTTGGTTAAGCCGTTACTTAATCTAAGATCTTACTTAATTATACTTAATCTAGATACTTAATCTAAGATCTAACAAATAAAAAAACACTTTTAATACTAGTAAAGATAGTAAGGAGGGATGTTTTGTTAATGATTTCCATCTCTTCTCCAATGCTATAAAAATATCAAATTTCACGACACTTGGTTAAGCGGTTAAGTTTTCAAACAGACAAACTTACTTTCGGATTTTATAATATTAGTCAGAATAGAACATTACGGACAAAATGTGGTCCAAAAAATATTTCTTTATTCCTGTTTTCTTTTTAGATACTGTTTTTTTTTTATCAATAAATATCTAAGTTTCAATGATAAGCTAATAAGAATTTTAATAATAAATACATGATTTATTTCTCTACAGTTAGATAGATAGATAGATAGATACTCTTTATTGTTTCCTCCAAAAGATTACAATAGTGAACTTATTAGAAATATAAATAATTACAAGAAATAATCACAATGAGAAAACAATGGGAGACCTTATCGCTAAGAGCGATCTCTTCCAGCCAACCTTTGGATGGGAAGGAATAATTATAAACAATTTGGTGGGAGGCACGATGAAAAATTTTGTTCGTTCTAAATATGGAAGATGTGATACATATAATAATATAAATATAATCATCAAAATCAGAATATATCGATGGTTATTTAATTAGAATTATTTTCTATTATTTATTTATTAATTTATACACATTTATTTATTTATATAATTTAAAAAAATAAATAAATACAATTATTTTCTTTAATTCCGCTACCATTAGTATGTATGTGACTGCCGATACTCCAAGATTAACCACCGCTATTACTACCAGAAGCTCTACAACGTTCCATATTAACCATCAATCTCCGACTCGCATTTTGTTCACGCACGTTTTGCGATACGTGTTTCACCTCTAAACGAGGCATCTTCAGGCAAATTATTTGATTGCTGCGCGGAGCCTCAAGCGGCGGCGTCAAGCGTTCGGCATCCAAACGGGGAATCAATTTGCTGTTTGGGCGCGGAACGACTAACACCTAGTTTAATTAAATAGTGAATATATAGTACTTCATTTTTTTTTTGTTTTTTTTTTTTATTATTATAATATTTTAAGGGCTTTCACCTTCTTCAGGTATATCGGTCCTATCGTACCCTGAACTGATTTTTCAAACAAAATTTTATCTACTTTCCTGTTTATTATATAATATATTACGTTACAATAGATGTCTACTGATGTAACATTATTATAGTCAGCATTATGGATTCTGCTTTTTTTTCTTAATGGGTGATAATGGAATGGTATCTCCGCTTGTGCTACTGGAATACATTGGCGGGGCATCAGTGATAGATGATAGGTGACGATGGAAGCAAAATAGTTAACCTATCGTGACGAATTCCACTAAAATTAACCATGGTGGTTCCTAAGGAGAGCCTGATAGGATGTGTTGCTACCGATGGGGTAGTTACTATTACTACCAATCCCTTTTCTCCCTATGGACCCTGTTGGGCATAGCATGTTATAGTTGGAGAGATGGCTAGTTTTCATAAAACATGTTTGATTCCCGTATTATTTTATATAATATATATTTTATTGTAAATACTTATAATAAATCTGTAGAGAGGTCAATTCTGTACATGAAATATATTTCCAAAATAACGATCAGGGGTGATTAGTGATCGATACTGATGCCAAAAATGCAATCAGTAAAAGTTTTGTCTGTCTGTCTGTCTGGATGTTCGTTATAGAAACAAAAACTACTCGACAGATTTTGACGAATCTTGGTACAATTATTCTTCATACTCCTGGGCAGGTTATAGTATACTTTTCATCACGCTACGATCAATAGGAGCAGAGCAGTGAAGTGAAATGTTAAAAATGTCCACCCGTGCGACGCCGGGACGGGCCACTAGTACAAAATAATTTAGTGTTGTTAATCCTTAGTAATTTTTTAAATGTGAGTTTGTTATCTCTCGACACCTTATGATCACTTTGAAATTTAATATACAAGTACATGAGATGAAGAAGGACATAGGCCACTTTTTAAGCCCATCAGTAGACATATACGGGTAAAAGCTAGTAAATTATAAATGTGAGGAATAATAATTAAATGTTTTCATTTAGGTTAATCAATATATTATGATCATGTGCCAAACTATTGTTATATATAAAAAAAATATTGAAGATTGTGTCGTATAAAAAAAATCGACTTTAATTGTGACAAAACCAGTTAAATATATATCTAAAAACTAAAATATTGAACCGACTTTTATAAAATTTCTTCTTTTATACCTTTTCAGATAAAATGAAAGAATTTTCTAAATCGGTTTAGAATTGACAGAGTTATGTGGTATTAAACATAGGAAAAAAATATACCTGACTTGAAAATCTCCTTCTTTTTGAAGTTTTTTTTTATATCACTGAGGTGGCAAACAAGCATTAGGCCTACCTGATGGTAAGCGGTTACCGTAGCCTATGAACGCCGGCAATACCAGAGGTATTATGCGCGCGTTGTCGACCCTGAAGAAACCTGTTCACCCCCCTTTTGAAGAACCCCATGCTGTAGTCTCTTGGAAAAATCTGGGTGGGGAGCTCATTCCATAACTTGAGTGTTCGTGGGAGAAGTTAGTTAATAAATATATCATTTAAAAAATTATAAAAGTAATTTAAACAAATTTCAAAGTACCTATAGGGTGTCCAATGTCGTTTATAAAAGAAGCATACATACATACATACATATCTGTCACGCCTGTCTCCCATTAGGGTAGGCAGAAACAATGGAACGCCAAATGCTTCGATTCAAACAAACCTCTTTCGCTTCTTCCACATTCATCAATCTTGTCATACACGCTCGTCGGTTACGGGTACTTTTAATTTGGCCCTTCTTCAGCACGTCGCCTATTTGGTCGACATACGTCCGTCTAGGGCGGCCCCTACCGACATCTCCATTCATTCTTGCTCGATAAATCTCTTTCGTAATTCTTCTTTCATCCATCCTCTCCAAATGACCAAACCAACGCAACATTCCTTTTTCAATTTTTGTCACTACATCGTCTTTCAGTCCACACTTCTCTCTAACCACACTGTTTCTTACTCTATCTTTTAAAGTAATACCACACATACTTCTCAAAGCTCTCATCTGTACAGCATTTATCTTACTTTCATGCTTCTTCTGCCATACCCACGATTCGCTTCCATACATGAGTGTTGGTG